GTTTGTGGTTTTCGGCAGCGCGCGGGCATGGACTTCACGACACCTTCGCCCCGGTTGTGAAACCGGGCACGATTCGCGCCGTGCTTCAGCTGGCGGTCTCGCGCGCCTGGCCTGTGCACCAGTTGGATGTCTCCAACGCCTTCTTGCACAGCCATCTCGCCGAGAAGGTGTTCTGTGAGCAGCCCACTGGTTTCGTCGACGCCGAGCACCCCGACTTCGTGTGCTTGCTCTCCCGTTCTCTTTACGGGTTGAAGCAGGCGCCTCGGGCTTGGTACCAGCGTATCGCAGCCTTCCTGCAGTCTCTCGGATTTTGGTCCACTTGCTCCGATGCTTCACTCTTCGTGTATCATCAGGGAGTTGACACTGCATATCTGCTGCTCTATGTCGACGACATCATCCTCACGGCGTCCGCCCCCGACCTCCTTCAGCGGCTGACTGCTCGTCTTCGTGATGAGTTCGCCCTCAAGGACTTGGGGCCCCTGCACTACTTCCTCGGCATCGAGATGGTCCGACGGACTGACGGCTTCTTTCTGCATCAGCAGAAGTACGCCCACGAGTTCCTGGAGCGTGTCGGTATGCTTAACTGCAAGCCAGCGCCCACCCCCATCGACACAAATGCGAAGGTCTCTGCTCTTGAGGGGTCTCTTGCATCCGATGGAGCGTTTTATCACTCTATTATCGGTGCTTTACAGTACCTGATGCTGACTCGCCCCGACCTGCAGTACGCTGTCCAGCAGGTGTGCCTCCATATGCACGCCCCGCATGACTCTCACTGGACTCTGGTGAAGCGTATTCTCCGTTACATACGCGGCACCATGTCCTTGGGATTCACCCTGACGACCTCCGCTTCCACCGACCTCGTGGCCTACTCGGATGCCGACTGGGCTGGCTGCCCCGACACGCGACGCTCTACGTCAGGCTACTACGTCTATCTTGGGCCCTCGTTGATCTCTTGGTCATCGAAGCGGCAACCCACGGTCTCCCGCTCCAGCGCCGAGGCAGAGTATCGCGCCGTGGCTAATGCCGTGGCCGAGTGCTCTTGGATACGTCAGCTGCTCCAGGAGTTGCTTTGTGATGTTCACAAGACCACTCTTGTCTACTACAATAACGTCAGCGCGGTCTACCTCTCCCCAACCCGGTGCATCATCGACGGACGAAGCATATTGAGTTCGATATTCACTTCGTGCGCGAGCAGGTTGCCCTTGGCCATGTTCGGGTTCTCCACGTGCTGATGTGATGACTAAGGGATTGCCTACTACTGTCTTCGAGGAGTTTCGGTCCAGTCTCTGTG